TTCTGGTTAAAATTGCTACCAAAAGTCGAACTAGTAGGGGGCCTCGTAGCCTGGTGGATAGCGCGCAGGACTCGTAATTCTGTGGCGCGGGTTCGATTCCCGAACGAGGCAGAAACAAATGGGCAAAGTTTCTTTCACCCTGAATGCCCCTGTTACCTAGCAGTAAATAGGTACCTGGGAGTTAGTCAGCTGTCACGGGCTGCTTCCTGGGGGTGGAGGCCTGGTCGAGGACCGGGCCGCGGGGACACTAAAGCCCCGAAATCATCTCAAGATAACCTCAAGAAGTAGATAGAACTCCCCAACAGAAAAACAAGCAAACTAGTATGACGTCTCACGTTGCCGCGCCGCTGTCTGCACAGCTCCCCCCTCCCCGGGAGGGGGGAGCCCCAGACCTCTCATGCCGGCTATCCACCCATCAGTTCTGAGGCTGGATGTCAAAACATGCAAAAAAACACTGACCGGAGGGAGGGAGGGAGGGTTGCCGGGGAGCCTCCGGGTCTCACCCAGAAAATGATGTTTCATCACCACCAATCCCACCACCATCCCTGCCCAAATGTCAGCCCATGACATATTAACAAAATCCTCATGAAAGCAAGGCATTTACAAATATCATGGGCATGAGGGTAGACTGCCAGTTGCCTAGACTTGATGACACTGTAGATAACCTAAGAAACATGAGCCTTGGAACAGGGAACCAAGGGAAGAAGATTAACCCACAAAGCATCCACTGAGGCAGAACTGAATGCACAAAAGAACCAGGAGAGAGACCACCATGCACAACACATGATGCACCCCTGGCTAAACCAGGAGTCAATAACCAAAGGACCACTCTGGAAGCCCACCGACTCATTCTTTGCCAGAAAAGATGACGGCTGCAGATGACCATTATGCCGACCAGGGATCAAAAGAACAAAAACATACATCTCTGGAAAAGCGCACAAGACTTCTCTAACCTTACAGCCAATGGTGAGAGCCAAATGGAAAACAATCATTAGAAAAGAAATCCCGGACTGAAGGGAACACTATAAACCGTTGAGAAAGAAAGTGGATGATAGAGTACTAGGACCTCAGGGGGTCACATGAGTGGGCCAGAGGTGAAACAATGCATGAAACAGCTTCTGAAATGGCCCCAACAAAGTAGAGACACTGAATGCAAGCAGCAGGCCTACTCAGACCTACAGCAGGTGAAAGCCCCAACTCACTTGCAGTGTCCGTGGCGAAGTGGTAAGACTCTCACCTGGCATTTTGCGAGCGCTTTGTCCTGGGTTTGTATCCTGGCCGGGGAGGATTTACTGGGTGCCAATCCTTAACTGTAGCCTCTGTTCACCCAGCAGTGAATGGGTACCTGGTTATTAAACGATTTGGTGGGTCATATTCCGGGGAAAATTAGTATTAAAGACTTGCCCGAAACGTTATGCGTGCTAGTGGCTGTGCAAGAATGTAAAAACTCTTGTATATATAGTCACGTAATCTCTCTTAGAAAAGAGATTATGCCTGCTCCATCATCATCTATTCGACTACACCACGTCTATGTATTTAAGAACTCGAGAATGTACAGCAACAACAATGACAACAACTACTTCTCAAACGTCTAGACGGTGGACTACCTCCCCTCTGCACCATGGCCCTTCACCCTCCTCTCACCTGTTGGCTGGGAGCTCACGCCACCAGCCAGGGAACTAACCCAGTGGTAGTTAGTGTGAGCCGGTTCCTAGTTATCTACGACTTCAGCGCCACCTGGATGGCCGTCATTCCATATATATAGAGGTTTGCCAGCTCCAGCAAGCCAGATTACTCCTGAGTGCTCCACTGACTAGATCTGTTGACATACCCCATTGTGGTAACAGATTTATGCAGACTAGCTCACAGTATTCCCACACCATTTTCTAGTATTTGCACATTAACGTAACGTAAATTTAATTGTTTGTTTGTCTTGTTTGATTTGCACTCTTTGTATCAGCCAAGCTTGGATATCATTTTTTGTTTTGTAATTTGTTTAACGTCATTCTTAGTAAGTAAAGTATTTTTAAATGTTTTTCTCTCTGTCTTATCCTACAGTTACCTTACAGTAAAGACAAATAGAAGTGTTAACTTTTTTTTACTTTTTTTGCTTTTTTTTTTTTAATTTTATATGACTCGCATTCCATCTGTGACTGCAGAGAGACTGCACTAGCATCCATTTTTCTTGTCATAATATAAATAAATTATACAAAAAAGATTATAAAAAAATTGAGTACCCATGACCACAGAAGATGAAACCCTGCTTGAACAACACCTGACTAACAAGCCAAATTGCTGCTAAAGCACCCAAAATAACTGATGAGACAGCCTTCTCGGGAAAGAGAGGAGAAGCAAAAACCTTGCATCGAATGTAATGAAATGCCTATTTCTAGATGTGCCCTGGTAGTTCCTGGAAGCCATCTTGCTGAGACTGCTCTATAATTAATGGTCCCATTAGTCACATTAGCTCTGTATGGCCTGCCGGGGACCAGAGCCAGAACCTGGCCCTTCTCACAGAAATGCAGGAAGCAAATGACTATCTGGTTCCACATTGATACAAGCCTATAGAGAGTCAGCCTAGCTTTACAGACTTCTGAAGGGATAACAGGAAACAAAACCTTAAAACCATCAAACCACTCCACAAATAATTCAAACGACACAAGGGATTCATTCAAACTAACTCAAAACTCATTAATACCAATTACCACCACCAGGCAGCCTGGTCCCACCCTTATCCAGTTACCCAGGTTAGTTCTAAGGGTGGCGAGTAACCCCATGACGAACTGACAAACCTGGAGGGAAGAAGGGAGTTAGGGAGCCACTGTACTTCTCCAGAAAAAGGCATTATATTTATTGCTGGGTTTCTGGAGGTTTCTGGCCCCCATCTGCCCCCCAGTGGCAATCTAAACCAACCACAGAGAACAAAAACACGACTTAACAGACAGTAAAGATCAGGCTGATACCTGATCAACCAGGCTGTGACTCGTACATCAGGCTTCGAGCCGCCGCTTCCAACAGCCTGGTTGACCAGTCCAGCAACGAGGAGGCCTGGCCGAGAACCGGGCCGTGGGGACGCTAAGCGCAGAAATCATCTCGAGGTAACATCAAGTTAAGGTGAAGAGGTGGTAAATACCAACATGAAGAGTACTCAGGCTGGTTAACATGTCCAATGCCACACCTATCCGACTGGAACCAGTAATAATGACCAAATACTGGGCTGCCAAAGCCTGTTAGAACACGTAAACCCCCAAGCCTGAATATCAGCCCAAGACATGGTATAGAAAATGGCAGCCAAAGCTGCATATATGCAAACATCATAGGCCCAAGGGTAGACTACAGGCTAGCTAGACTTGGTAGCACTGTGGATAACCTGGGAGATGTGCTCCTTGGAGCAAGAAACCAAGGAAACGGGATCAACCAACAAAATTTCCAACGAGACTGATAGCATGAGTACTGGTGGCACGCAGACAGCAGAGAAGAGCCACCACCACAGAACACAAATGATGCACCCCAGGTCGAACCAACCAAATGTCAATCATCATGTCATCCTTCCAGAAGCCCACAAACTCATTCTTTGTCAGAAAAGAAGGAAAATGCTGCAGAAGAACAAACTGCCTACCAGGGCTAAAGAAATAGAACCTCTCACTTCCAGAAAAGGCCTGAATTGTACCTGGATGGTGTTCTGGGAGTTCGTATACTCCCCAAGCCCATTCTGGAGCCAGGTTTGACTTGAAAGCTTGGTCCAACAGGCTGTTGCTTTGAGTAGCCTGCAGGCCCATGTATTCCTTACAGCCCAGTTGGTCCTGCACTTCTTGCAGAAAACTGTCCAATTTTTTCTTGAATTGGTCAACTTTTGTTTCGGCAATATTTCTTATACTTACTGGGAGATATTAAACATCCATGGATTGCTGATGTTCATATAGGGCTCTCTGATTGTGTCTATGGCACCTCTACTCTTCACAGGCACTATTCTACATTTCCTTCTGTGTCGTTCACTCCAGTATGTTATTTTACTGTGCAAATTCAGGACCTGGCCGACCAGTACTTTACATGTATGTAATATGATATCTTTCTCGTTTCCTTTATAGAGTACATTTTGAGAGCTTTGAGACAGTCCCAAAAATGTAGGTGCTTTATTTTGTCTGTGTGTTCAACATACAATCTGTATTCCCTCTATTTCAGCAATCTCTCCTACAGCACGAGTGATTTGTATAGTATGAGCATTGTGATGGGATCCCTGGATTTGAAGGTTCTCATAATCCATCCTCATTTTTCTAGCCAATACTGTATTTGCTTGGTTATGCTTCCAAAACATTAGATGTTCTTTAGGTGTTGTTTCCTTACTATGGGGAGATGTGATTGTGTCTTGTACCCCTGCATTTTGTTTAAGGTCTTCATTTTTACCATACCTTAGTACCAGGGACCAGATTCACGAAGCAGTTACACAAGCACTTATGAACGTGTGCATCTTTACTCAGTCTTTTATGGCTTTGATTACATTTATTAAACAGTTTACAAGCATGAAAACTTCCCAATCAACTGTTGTTATTGTTATAAACAGCCTCCTGGTGCTTCGGAGCTCATTAACTGTTTAATAATTGTAAACAAAGCCACCAAAGATTGAGAAAAGATGTATAGGTTGGTAAGTGCTTGCGTAACTGCTTCGTGAATCTGACCCCTGGAATTTAGCACTGTAAAACATCATGTTATTTTAAACTGCTCAATCAAAAACTTTATTAATATCATCCTGCAGTTTTCAATGTCTTTTACACAAGTAATTTGCATGCTGATTTCTGTTCCTCCAAAAGATGACACAAAACTGTAATTTGTATTTTTGTCTATACCTGATATGAGAAGAAAAGGCAGTGGTTGCCACGGACCGTACCCTGGGGTACAGAGCCTTGAACAGACGTACATATTTATTTATATATGTAGATTTAGATACCAAACATGGAATGGTGTGTCATTAAAACAAATCACAGCACTGAAAACTTACTCACCTTTGCCATAATATGCTTTTTATTATATTTTAGTGCTGACCATGCCCCTTTTTTTCTAACAAGATCTGCTTTGTCTTCTGTGCCACAGATACCAATAACCTGAAGAAAAAAAAGCATTGAATGTAATAAAATGTCAATTTCTTGGTGAGCCCCACTGGCTTCCTGGTAGATTCAGGGAGCCACTGGAGCTCCTGAATCTACATCAATATAGGTGTCATCTACTCTGATGTTGTTGCCATCTACTTCAATGTAGGTGTCATCTACTAGATGTCATCAGGTGTGGAGTTCTAAGGTCTACCAGGGACCAACAGCCAGAACCTGGCCCTATCATATAGGCACAGGGAGAAATGGCATCTATATATTAAAGTTTACAAAGTATATATATATATATCTTGAACTTGGCTTCAAACAGTCTCCGTGGTGTAGTGGTAAGACACTCGCCTGGCGTTCCGCGAGCGCTATGTCATGGGTTCGTATCCTGGCCGGGGAGGATTTACTGGGCGCAATTCCTTAACTGTAGCCTCTGTTTAACGCAACAGTAAAATGTGTACTTGGATGAAAAAACGATTCTTCGCGGCAGGGGATCGTATTCCAGGGACCATAGGATTAAGGACTTGCCCGAAACGCTACGCGTACTAGTGGCTGTACAAGAATGTAACAACTCTTGTATATATCTCAAAAAAAAAAAAAAAAAAAAAAAAAAAAAAAAAAAAAAAAAAAAAAAAAAAAAAAAAAAAAAAAAAAAAAAAAAAAAAAAAAAAAAAAAAAAAAAAAAAAAAAAAAAAAATTCTGCTGGTAAGATAATTGCTTGGGATTACTAGCTTAACAAAATTTGCACTTACTCATCATATAGATACATTCTAAATTCTAAGACTCAGAATATTAACATTTTGTCCGGCCCAGCGTGCGACCCCCAGCACACCCTAAGGTCAACCGAGCGTATCCCATGAGTGCACCCGCATTAAAATATTTATACTCTTTTCATTTTCCCACCTTGATGTTCGTACTACGTCGTTCATTTTGTTATCAAATTGTTCGCAATAGAAATCTCTAAAGAGATATTTGCATATAAGGTCAAAAGGCCCGAAGCGCCATCCGCATCAAACCCGAAAATTGGCCGAGCATTACCCCATGAGCGAGTACCCGCACTAAAATGTTTATACTCTTTTTTTTTTTTTATTGTTCTTGCCTCAACTTTCATGCTACATTATTCATTTTGGTATCAAATTGTTCGTGAATGCTTTACAGGGATATATGCATATAAGGTCAAATGGCCCGGTGTGCCACCCGCATCAAACCCGAATATCGGCCGAGCGTTACCCGTGAATCCGTACCCATCCGCACTCAAATGTTCATACAGGTACTCTTTTTCAGTGTTTTTACCTCAATTTTCGTGCTACATCATTAATTTTTAGTATCAAATTCTTTGCAATAGAATGCTCTAAAGGAATATATGCATATAAGGTCAAATAGCCCAGCACGCCACACGCAGCACATCCGAATTTACGCCGAGTTTTACCCATGAGCACCCACCCACCTGCACAAACAGCAATGAAGGAACAAGCAGTGAAACTGAGAAAAAGGGAGAACAGATACACAGAGAACGACAAGGTGTGTGAAGAACTCAACAAGAGATTCCAGGATGTCTTCACAATAGAACAAGGAGAGGTCCCTGCACTAAATGAGGAGGCAAACCAAGCAACCTTGGAGGAATTTGACCTCACCAGTGAGGAGGTCAAAAGGAATCTGGTGCTGTTGAATGTGACAAAGGCTGTTGGGCCTGACAGAATCTCACCTTGGATACTAAAAGAAGGTGCAGAGGCACTAACTGTGCCACTCTCTATGGTGTATAACCGGTCACTGGAAACGGGAGACTTACCGCAAAGCTGGAAGACAGAAAATGTAGTCCCAGTATACAAATAGGGTGACAGGCAAAAAGCCACTGAACTACAGGCCAGTTTCCCTAATTTGTATACCATGCAAGATGATGGAGAAGATCATGAGGAAAAGGCTCATAGAGCATCTGGAGGGAATTATCTTTGTAACGCACCATCAACATGGGTTCATTGATGGTAAATCATGCCTCACAGGTCTAATAGAATTCTATGACCAAGCAACACAAATTAGGCAAGAAAGAGAAGGGTGGGCAGACTGCATTTTCTTGGACTGTCAGAAAGCCTTTGACACAGTACCTCACAAAAGGCTGTTACAAAAGTTGGAGCAACAGGCAGGAGTAAAAGGTAAGGTGCTCCAGTGGATAAGGGAGTATCTAAGTAACAGGAAACAGCGAGTAACTGTGAGGGGGGAGGGGGAGGCATCAGAGTGGCGAGTTGTCACCAGCGGGGTTCCACAGGGCTCTGTACTTGGACCCATCCTGTTTCAAATATATGTCAATGACCTTCAAGAGGGTATAGACTCATTCCTCTCAATGTTTGCTGATGATGCAAAAATTATGAGAAGAATCAAAACAGATGAAGATAGACAGACTACAGGATGATCTGGACAAACTGGTGGAATGGTCAAGAATATGGCTACTATAGTTCAACTCAGGAAAGTGTAAAGTAATGAAATTAGGCGAAAGGAACAGAAGGCTGAATACAATATACCATCTGGGGAGGTGATATCCTGCAAGAGTCAAATAGAGAGAAAGATCTGCGGGTTGCTATCACACCGGACCTGTCTCCAGAGGCCCACATCAAAAGGATATCATCATCAGCATATGCTAGACTGGCCAACATAAGAACTGCCTTTAGAAACTTATGTAAGGAATCATTCAGGACCTTGTATACCACTTATGTAAGACCAATCCTGGAGTATGCAGCTCCAGCCTGGAGTCCATACCTAGTTAAACACAAGACAAAGTTAGAGAAGATTCAGAGGTATGCCACCAGACTGGTCCCAGAACTGAGAGGTATGAGTTATGAGGAAAGGGTAAGGGAGCTGAACCTCACATCCCTGGAAAACAGAAGACTAAGGGGAGACATGATAACCACCTACAAAATTCTCAGGGGGAAATTGACAGGGTGGACAAAGACAAACTCTTTAGCACGGGTGGGACACGAACAAGGGGGACACAGGTGGAAACTTAGTACTCAGATGAGCCACAGAGACATTATAAAGAATTTTTTCAGTGTCAGAGTAGTTAACAAATGGAATGCATTAAGCAGTAATGTGATCGAGGCAGACTCTATACACAGTTTCAAATGTAGATTTGATAGAGCCTAATAGGCTCAGGAATCTGTACACCACTTGACTGACAGTTGAGAGGTGGGACCAAAGAGCCAGAGCTTAACCCCCGCAAGCACAACTAGCTGAGTACAACTAGGTGAGTACTCAAATATTTATACTCTCTCTAGTCTTCCCACCTCAATTTATGTACTACGTAGTTCATTGTGGTATCAACTTGTTTGCAATTAAAATGCACGCATTCTAAAACTAGTCTCATAATAATTGAACAATAAATGGAATTTTAACAAATATTTTAATTTTGGACGCAGCATGCATCCTCGCACACACTGCGTATATTCACATACGGACACATTATGTGTTATCGGTCAGGCAAAGTGCTAACACTGGAAATTACTGCACTTGAAGAATGTTCTTACTTAAGGTCTAGTCCACTGTTATCTCTACTTTACACTTGAATTACCATATATAGATAAATAAAAGTTAGTAAGCCACGTGATACAAAATGACAGTAAACATTAGTAAACCGCAATAAGCACAAGGAATGGACGATTCTACACAACTGGGACATGAAGTGGGAGTGAACCAGGCCACTGGGACATGTAAATAATCAATCCTATCCCAAGGATGCAAAAGTAACACCTCAAATATAACGGATTAGTCAAACACAGAAATCATACTAACGTGATATATATCAACGAGAAAATCCTCTAGGGATGTGAATGCGGCTGGCAATGCCAGGTCCGCGTCACCTCACAACAGTCCTAGTGGATTTTCTCATAACGGATTAGGTCTCTGCACTTAGCTACACATGGACAGCCATGCCAGTGAGGTTTTTTTCAACACGAAAATGACTGTCATCAAAAACAGCTCTGAGCCAAGTAACCGAGCATCTGTTTGTGTTTGCTCACATGCACCAAGCGTTCCAGTGTTTTCTTGTTCCACATCTGATTTCCTTATTTTTATTAATTTCTTTAAGACTGGGTTTTCTACATTTAGCACTTACATTTTCCTCATGTTTCGAGTAACAAATGTTTCTTTTGTTTATAGTGGTACACAATTATATATGAACAAGCTCTTCTAATGAACATATAAGATACACTACCACACATGTGGAGAGGTTGCTGGTGAACTGGCAGCAGTTTCAAATGTTCTATAAAAGACCCCTTCCTTGTAAGGGTGGATAACGAGAACCTTTCAAATGAGATGCATACAAATAATGATACTTTTCAAGACACTAGTGCTTGCTAGGGTGGGAAATTGTTGCACAACAACATCCTCCATTCAAAGCTGGAGAAATTGGGGACTTCGAGCAAATGCAAAGATCCTTTACTGCTAGAATCCACTCAATAAAACTTCTATTTTTTTTTTTTTTCTTTTGAGATATATACAAGAGTTGTTACATTCTTGTAGAGCCACTAGTACGCGTAGCGTTTCGGGCAGGTCCCTGGAATACGATCCCCGCCGCGAAGAATAGTTTGTTCATCCAAGTACACATTTTACTGTTGCGTTAAACAGAGGCTACAGTTAAGGAATTGCGCCCAGTAAATCCTCCCCAGCCAGGATACGAACCCATGACATAGCGCTCGTGGAACGCCAGGCGAGTGTCTTACCACTACACCACGGAGACTGCAATTATTGAGATATTATTGAGACCAATCAAAATTTTTATATCTGTATTCTCTAGAGTACTGGTTTCCAAACTGAGGGCCTCTGGGGTGCATTTTTGCAATATTTAGCGGGCCATAAGTTTAGACAGTGTACAGGTTATGATACCAAAGTATAGGAGGAAAATAACCAGCTAGTGGAATGAGCTCACAGGATAATAACCAAAATATTAATACCAAGTGTAAGGGGCCATCTTGAGGTTATCTTGAGATGATTTCAGGGCTTAGCGTACCCATGGTCCAGTCCTCGACCAGGCCTCCTTTTTGATACACACCCCCAGAAGGCATCCCGAAGCAGCTATCTAACTCCCAGGTACCTATTTATTGCTAGGTAACAGGGGCATCAGGGTGAAAGAAACACTGCCCATTTGTTTTCACCTCCACTGGGGATTTAACCCGGAACCTTAGGACTACGAATCCCAAGTGCTGTCCACTCAGCTGTCAGGCCCCTTACCTAACCTTGCAAGGACACTACACGGAAAAGGAGTAATAACCATAATGAGTTTGGGAACCACTGCTCTACAGTGCAGGTATGATACATAATAATTTACACAGAAAATATTAACAGGAACTGGTTCCAAATCTAAACAAGAAAACCACCACCATATGAGACCAAGAGGCATGGCAGGAAGTGCAAAACAAGCCCACTAAAAAGCAGAGATGCAATAGGTTTGCTGAAAGAACACTATCAATATCAAGGCCCCAAGACTTTTCAATACTCTCTCTCTAAATGTAAAGGGCATAACTAGCCGACATCTCGTGATGTTCAAACGAGAACTTGATAAACACCTCCTAAAGATACCTAATCAACCAGGATTGAGAGCATCTGCATCTAACAGCCTGGTTGACCAAACCACCATCCAGGCAGCCAGGTCAGAAACCAGGCTACAAGGACTTTGATCCTCAGAACCAACAAAATGCAGCTGAAAGAAAAGGTAGACAGAGGCATTAGGCGAGAGGAAACATGTCCAACTATTCCTGTCCTGCCCAGGAATCGATCCTGGAATCCTAAATTGTGAGTCAAGAATGAAGCCAACTGAACTACAATCTTGAACGAAACATTATTCTACTTTTTGAGACTACATGGTGGTAGGATGTTCTGTATTTTCAAGAAAATATCACAGGATGTAAAGGAAGAACAATTGAGTGTTTGTGAGCACTACCAACACAATGAAGGTAGATCAAGCCAACAGGTGCAGGCCATGCTAGTGACACTAGGGGCCTGACAGCTGAGTGGACAGCACTCGGGATTAATAGTGCTGAGGTTCCGGGTTCGATTCCCGGTGGAGGCGGAAACCAATGGGCAGAGTTTCTTTCACCCTGATGGCACCTGGGAGTTAGACAGCTGCTACGGGCTGCTTTCTGGGGATGTGTAACAAAAAGGAGGCCTAGTCGAGGATCGGGCCGCGGGGACGCTAAACCCCAAAATCATCTCAAGATAACCTCAAGAAGACAACCAGGCACTCGTGCGGTGCCCCAGCCAGCTGGAAAGCCAGGCCTCTCCTTTCATCTCAGCGTGTAGAGGAGGAAATGTTGGAAAACAAAACAAAACAGGCTCTCCAAACAAGGTCAAATGGGGAGATGGTCTTTGAATAGCCAACTGTTTAGTGCAATAAATTTTTAGTCATCCCATTTTCTAATTATCTAAGATTCAACAATGAACAAATGCATAGTAGCCATGATGACGGTTCCAACGTATAAACTGGGTGTTCCTAGACGCGCTCTAGTCAACTGTACCACAAGCGTACTGCTGACTAGAGTGCGTCTGAGAACACTCGGCACATGGTTCAAAACCTCATCAAGGCTCCTGTGGACTTGTTCTTTGATATATCATATTAATGTGATTTTTCTGTGTATTCACCTAGTTGTACTCACCTAGTTGTGCTTGCAGGGGTTGAGCTTTGGCTCTTTGGTCCTGGCTCTCAACTATTAATCAACTGGTGTAATTACCTAAGTGTAATTACCTAAGTGTAGTTACAGGATGAGAGCTACGTTCGTGGTGTCCCGTCTTCCCAGCACTCTTTGTCATATAACACTTTGAAACTACTGACGGTCTTGGTCTCCACCACCTTCTCACCTAACTTGTTCCAACCGTCTACCACTCTGTTTGCGAAAGTGAATTTTCTTATATTTCTTCGGCATCTGTGTTTAGCTAGTTTATATCTATGACCTCTTGTTCTTAAAGTTCCAGGTCTCAGGAAATCTTCCCTATCGATTTTATCAATTCCTGTTACTATTTTGTATGTAGTGATCATATCACCTCTTTTTCTTCTGTCTTCTAGTTTTGGCATATTTAATGCCTCTAACCTCTCCTTGTAGCTCTTGCCCTTCAGTTCTGGGAGCCACTTAGTAGCATGTCTTTGCACCTTTTCCAGTTTGTTGATGTGCTTCTTAAGATATGGGCACCACACAACTGCTGCATATTCTAGCTTTGGCCTAACAAAAGTCGTGAACAATTTCTTTAGTATATCGCCATCCATGTATTTAAAAGCAATTCTGAAGTTAGAAAGCGTGGCATAGGCTCCTCGCACAATATTCTTTATGTGGTCCTCAGGTGATAGTTTTCTATCTAGAACCACTCCTAGATCTCTTTCTTTATCAGAATTCTTTAAAGATTTCTCACATAATATATAGGTTGTGTGGGGTCTATGTTCTCCTATTCCACATTCCATAACATGGCATTTATTAACATTAAATTCCATTTGCCAAGTGGCACTCCATGTACTTATTTTGTCCAGGTCTTCTTGAAGGGCATGACAATCATCTAAGTTTCTTATCCTTCCTAGTATCTTAGCATCATCAGCAAACATGTTCATATAATTCTGTATACCAACTGGTAGATCATTTATGTAGACAATGTACAGATTCTTGAGCCTACTGGGTTCTATCATATCTACATTTGAAACTGTGTATGGAGTCAGCCTCCACCACATCACTGCTTAATGCATTCATTTGTTAACTACTTTGACACTGAAAACATTCTTTCTAATGTCTCTGTGGCTCATTTGGGTACTCGGTTTCCACCTGTGTCCCCTTGTTCGTGTTCCACCCGTGCTAAAGAATTTGTCTTTGTCCACCCTGTCAATTCCCCTGAGAATTTTGTAGGTGGTTATCATGTCTTCCCTTACTCTTCTGTTTTCTAGGGATGTGAGGTTTAGCTCCTTTAGCCTTTCCTCGTAGCTCATACCTCTCATAGTATGCCACCATACTAGTCTGGTGGCATACCTCTGAATCTTCTCTAATTTTGTCTTGTGTTTAGCTAAGTATGGACTCCAGACTGGAGCTGCATACTCCAGGATTGGTCTGACATAAGTGATATACAAAGTCCTGAACGATTTCTTACACAAGTTTCTAAAGGCGGTTCTTATGTTGGCTAATCTAGCATATGCCACTGATGATATCCTCTTGATGTGGGCTTCTGGGGGACAGGTTTGGTGTGATATCAATCTTTCTCTGTATTTGACTTGCAAGATTTCACCTCCCAGATAGTACCCTGTGTTCAGCCTTCTGCTCCCTTTCTTTAATTTCATTACCTTACACTTTCCTGAGTTGAACTATAGTAGCCATTTTCTAGACCATCCCTCCAGTTTGTCCAGGTCATCCTGTAGTCTCTGTCTATCTTCATGTGTCTTAATTCGTCTCATAATTTTTGCATCATCAGCAAACATTGAGAGGAATGAGTCTATACCCTCTAGAAGACCGTTTACATATATTAGAAACAGGATTGGTCTAAGTACAGAGCCCTGTGGGACTTCACTGGTGACATATCACCACTCTGATGTCTCCCCCTCACAGTTACTCGCCGTTTCCTGTTGCTTAGATACTCCCTTATCCACTGGAGCACCTTACCTGTTACTCCTGCCTGTTGCTCTACTTTTGTAACAGCCTTTTATAGGGGTACTGTGTCAAAGGCTTTCTGACAGTCCAAGAAAATGCAGTCTGCCCTACTTTCTCTTTCTTGCCTAATTTTTGTTCCTTGGTCATAGAATTCTATTAAACCTGTGAGGTACGATTTACCATCTCTGAACCCATGCTGGTGGCATGTTACAAAGCTATCTCCCTCCAGATGCTCTACGAGCCTTTTCCTCACGATCTTCTCCATCACCTTGCATGGTATACAAGTTAGGGAAACTGGCCTGTAGTTCAGTGGCTTTTTGCCTGTCACCCTTTTTGTATATAAGTAGGAGTATTTGTGTATATAAGTAGGAGTATTTGTGTATATAAGTAGGAGTATTTGTGTATTGAAGTAGGAGTATTTGTGTATTGAAGTAGGAGTATTTGTGTATTGAAGTAGGAGTGTCAGAGGTAGTATTACTGGTTGACAGAGCCAGTGCATGGGGGGGAATTGTGTGAAACCGCGGTAAGGCTTCAGTGGAATCCTCGGGACCCTTGTGGGTGCAGTAGAACTCCAGGTTGCAATTCTTTCCCATGTCGTGGTACAGTTGACTATATCACGTCTGGGAACACTCAGTGCATAGGTTCGAACCCTTATCAAGGCTTCTGTGGATTTGTTCTTTGATATATCGCGTTAATGTGATTTCTGTGTATTCGACAATTCCTTATCAATGCAATATGACTGTAAAGGGTTGCAAACAGTTGAGAAAATGTCTCCAAGCACTATTTAAGCTATAATTTTAGAAAATATTTTAAGCATTAAAAAATAAATACTGTGCATGACCTACAACATACCTTAGCTTTATAAACATTTGCAGCAAGGTCAACAGCAGCCAACCCTAATCCACCAGCGGCAGCTGTGACTAGAACTGTGCTATCTTCTCCGACTTCTGCTCTTCGGTGTAATCCAATCAAGGCGGTGGCATATGTGTCGACTAGAGCAGCTCCAGTATCAAAGCCAACTGCATGGTCTACCCTCCACAGGTCCTAAACATGTGATGATATGTAACACAAATTCTCATATGATACTGTAATGATAATGTTTACAACAATTTTTGTTGTAAACATTTACAGTACAGTACATGTACCTATACTGTAAATTAGAAAGTAAGGGTGGGTTTCGTGAGTTTGTACTCTAGGGTACAGCTTACAAACTTCGCGACCTTACAATAAGTAAACTCACAAGAAAAATTTTTTTTACGACTTCTTAAGGGAGACATGTATGGCAAGTGTATGCTCATCTTTACTGTACATACACAAAAGAAAGACCTGATGAGACAAAGATTAATGTATGGATGAGAACTTCAACTTGTCCACTGGGATACAGGTCACTGACTTGGTCACAAACAAAAGCACAATATATCTCAAACATAAAATCTGAGAATCAATGACAAATAATATAGCTAGGACACATACCTTGGCTGGAGATCAACCTCAACACATCACAAAAAAACAGCATTGAATATAATGAAATACCATTTTCTGGGCGAGCCCTGGAGGCTCCCTGAAGCTATCCAAACTGACATGTGCCATATTAGTTTGGTGTCATCAGTCCCTGGAGTTCTATGTTTACCGGAGACTATAAGCCTGAACCTGGTACCCTCAGAGAGGCGCAGGGAGCAATGGCCATCATGAGCATTCTACATTTAGAGTATGTCATGTGTGCTATTGACCAGGAAGAGCACCCGGAAAGATAGGCAAACCAATACAAAACCCCGAACTGGTAAAAATTGCAACCTACGTCCGAGCAGAACCTAAGAACTTCCCTAAAAAACAAAGTAAATCGTCATCCAACTACGACGCCCACTCATTAGCGTTTCCCCCCTCCCCCCAAAAAAGGGGATGGGGAGCCCCCACAGGCCAGCCGGCAGCCCACCACCCCAGCCTGTAGAATGCTTAAAAACCACTGACTGGAGGGTGGAAGGGTGGAAGGGAGCTTCCGGGGCTCGCCCAGAAAATGGCATTTCATTACATTCAATGCTGGTTTTCTGTAGGGAGCCCCGTCGGCTCCCTGATGCTAATATAAGTAAAAGGAGGGACTTAACTGAGAGGCAGCAGCACCACAAGTCTCAAGATAAAGACAAAGACGAGACTCCAAACTGCAACAGACATCCCAAGGCCACACAAGTTCGGAGAGGGCATAGAACATTCACATGATATCTGGCAGCAAGGACCCTGTTCAATTTCCAAAAACCCCATGCCTGAATGTCAACCCAAGACATATTCCCAAAAACAGTAGCAAGAGCAGCATATTTCCTCACATCATGGGCATGAGGGTAGACTGCAGGCTGGCTAGACTTGATAACCCTGCAGACAACCTGAGACATACGAGCCCTGAAACAAGGAACAAGGGAAACTGAATCAACCCAGAGCATGTCGACTGTCACTGAACCAGCGGCCCACAGGTAGTGACGCAAAGGCGCCACCAGATATAAAACATGATGCACCCCCGGCCAAACCAACCAAGCAGCAACATCCCACAGACCCCTCTAGAAGGCAGCCATCTCATTCTTTGCCAGAAAAGAGAGGGCTGCAAACAACAAAACGATCCCCAGGACCAAAGGAGCAGAACCCCCTGCACCAGTGAAGAGCATGAAGCTCCCCAACCCGACCCCCAGAGGCCACAACAATCCTAGGGGAGGAAAGAAAAAGAGAGCCCCGGTCCAAAGACCAAGACGGCTCAACCGGCGCATGAACAGGCTGGAGGTGAAAAAATGTGTGGGAGAGTTTGCAGAACGTGGTGGAAGTGACATCCACCCCAAAAACAAGCTGAAGCGGCTCCACCAATGCCGCACGATAAAAAGCGACAGAATTCGGCATAAGATATCTATCCAATAAGAGTCAAGAAAAAATTATAAAACTACCTGTACAGACACCGACAACACCCTCCAAAGGGAAAGAAAATGGCAGAAAGACTGCCAGGAGGCTTCTTTCTATTGCCGAGACGAATACTGCAGGTGGGACACCATTAGAGAAGCCACCTGATCATCATACAAGTGGCAATACACCTGCGTCAGAAAAACCAGAAGTGATGAGCGGAAGAGTAGGCTGAACAAGCAAGGTACCTCACTGGCCCGACCTGCTGAAAGAGGAGAAACCACGGAAAGACTCCCGGGTTCGGACACCAAGCAAGCAGCGCCTGAAACCAAGGCTGGGTCAGTCATCATGTGGCCATGAGAAGCACCCTTTCCCTGATAGGATTCCAGCCGGGCCAGAAGACATAGCATAGCTCGAGCGCATGGGGGAGTTGTGTAAAACCCTGGTTTGTGCCTCGGAGAGGCTGCAGGATCCAGTAAGTTCAGTAGAACTTCGGTTTCAACTCCTTTTGACCATGTCGTAGGCCAGTCGATTATGGCAGCGTTTGGGATGCTCTCGGACGCAGGTTTGAATCCTCATCACGGCCCTCGTAGATTTGTTCAACTCGAAGCAACAGCTGGACTGGGGAATAAAGGTACATGAACCCCCACCTCGACCAGTTCTGCCAGAAAGCAACTACCGCGAAGGCCTCGCAGTTGGGGAACGGCGCCACGTATACGGGGAGATGCCGATACCACGCCGACACGAAGAGATCCACCTCCGGATGCCTTTATGTTAGACAGAGCCAAAGGTTGCAGGTGGCATCAACCATTCACTCCGTGGAAAGGGGGGCATGAAACACGTTGGACACTCCCCAAATATGAACATTGCGAACAGCTAAACCCTGAGAACTCAGCAGAAGAGCTACATAAAGCGACAAGCCCCAAAAAGACATGGACCACAGAGACCCCCCCATGCTTGAGACAATAAACCACAGGAGTGCAATCCAAATGGAGCCGGATCAGAGAGCCTCAAGGAAGTCGAATCTGCTGCAATGCCAGCCAAACAGCCACAAACTCCTGCAAACTTCCATCGGGCTCGTGCTGTGAGCCTGATGGAAGGACAGAGCCCAACGACCATGCCAGCCTGGTGAGCGCTGGTCACAAAGCCCCAGCCGAGACCGACATGACCTCCGAGAAGTAGACGCGACCTCCGCACAGAGCGATCACTGGGCCGACCAGATGAGAAGGCACCGAAGGACACACCGGCTCAGAAACTGGCACCTACAGAAACTAGCGAAAGCCTCCGACAAAAACTGGGCAACACAATCCTCCAGAAATAACAAAGGACAGAACAGAGACAAAGATTGCAGAGCCAGAGCCCAAGCCGAATCTAGAGAGAGCGTGGACGGCTTTCCGACATGTGAGTCAAGAGGTAAAAAGCACAGATTGCCTTCCGGTGGATCGGCACAAACAGCATCAGCAGGGCAACCGACACCTTGGCAGCAGAATCCAGAATTCCAGCCAAAGGCCCCTTACTCAACGACCACCACATCCTCCTAAAGCCAGTCTGAAGACAACTCCAGAAGACCGAAGAAGAGCAAAACCAAGGCCAAATGACCGCGAGCTCTATGATCATCCGCCACCTCGATTCAAATCATTCATTCATCGATTCAAAAGGTGACACCCCTAGGGTCAACACTTGCAGCAGAGGAGCTCCAGCATATTTCAACAATCCTAAGTATTGTAGTACAGGTTGATGGTAATGAGTGGTGTCCCAGAGAACATAAAGGTATAGTGCTCTTGAAAAATAGGTGAGATAACAGGAAAGTGCTAAGGGAAGTGAAAAATCGGATGAGAAAAAGTTGCCCTAGTGTTTACAGTGCAGAGAAGAACATTCAAGATGGCCACCGGCAAGGGGAAAAACAAAACAGAGCTTGATTTTGAGGGATTCAATGAAGAAAGCATTGATATTAGTAGTCTACATAACAAGTTGGTAAATTTAGATACTATAGTGAACTCTCATGTAGAAATAATTAGTAAATTGAAAGAAAGTAATGACCATTTGAATAGCAAAGTTTTATGTCTTGAGGGTTTAGTGAAAGACTTGCGCAAGGATAAGAATCAATTGGAAACAAATTGCAAAGCCATGGAAGAAGAAAATAAACTCTTAAAAATAGATTTGGAAGAAGTTAAAGTAAATTTAAACATAAATGACTACAATAGGTTAGGCAAGGAAATTCAACAGGAGAAACAGCTTTTGTCAGCACAGATGGAGGAAGTTACACAGGGAATAGAACAGTGCAAGAAAGATATGCAACTCACTTATGCACACGTGGCCAAGGAGAAGGAAAAAATAGAAGAAGCAGTAAAGGAAGTCAAACACTGCAGCAACCAAGATAAAACAAACATTAGGCTGGAAGTGAGAAAAGAATTGGCATCTAACCCGAAGTTGGTGCAAAACACAGTTGATCGGAGTAAGTCCCTGATAATTTTTGGCTGCAAAGAAAAGGCGATAACATCTAGGTCAGAAAGAGCTGTAGAAGAAGCTAAAGTAGTAGATAAGATTGTTGGCCTCGTGGAAGGTCTTACAACCATAGAGAATGTGTGCGACTACAGGAGAATAGGCAGGTACGTAAAAGGGAAAGATCGACCTTTGAGGATCAGCCTAAACGGTGCCAAACAGATGGAAGAAGTACTAAGGAATGCTAGAAAATTGCAAAGTGATGAGGATGGGAAAGGGTGGTCGTTAAGACGAGATCTTTCAAAAGAAGATAGAGAGAAGCTGAAACTGATCCTCGCCGAGGCAAAACATTTAAATGAGAGCAGGAATGAAGAAGAAATAAATTCTTTTTTCTACAAAGTGATAGGGGTAGGCAGGCCAGTAAAGTGGTACATAAAGGCAAACCAACAAAATCAATAGAGAGAGGGGGAGTGAAGAATAAGGAGAGGGGGAACAAGTTCCTGAAGATTGCATACACCAACATAGATGGAGTGAGATCGAAGGTACTGGAGTTAAGTGCTGTAATACAGCTGCAGACACCAGACATTGTTGCACTCATGGAGACAAAACTTGAAGATGTAATTTTAAATGAGGTCATATTCCCAAGGGGCTACTCAATTTGGAGACGGGACAGAAAAATTAGGAAAGGCGGTGGCGTTGCTGTGCTGGTAAAAGAACACCTAAAGGTG